TACTTAGGAGAATGTCACTAGAATAATAGCTCTCAGTCTGTAAGATAATTATTTTTGTAAAAGAGTGCCCATAAATGAAGATATTGACATTAAAGGTCAAGACCAGAAGTCTTAAACTTGCACAGAAGAGTAATTCCTTAATATCACAGTTTATCATAGTATACTTGTCTTCCATCAAATATCAAGGCAAATTTTAGCATTTTTTTTTCCCCCACAGTCTTTGTGGTAATGAGTGGTTACAGCTCACTTTTAGGAAAAAGATCTTTTGAAGGTCAGGGTTGATGACTGCCACAGACAGCTGGACACTGATGTCTCTGTTCCTCCCACAGTGTGACTTGTGTCTCAGACCTTGCTTGCCTATGAAGGACTTTTGTTTGGCTTTTCAGGGCCTTCTCAAAGCTGTAGAATGAACTCCCATAGGGTGGGGAGATGAGGGAGGTAGGTTTGGGGATTTACTTTCGTTGTCATCAGGCTTGGATTCAGTCAGGTTACTCTGAAAGGACAAATTAATCAGTGGCAAAGCAAAACTTGACTCCTCCCCAGCACCCCTCAACTCCCTACAGAAAAATGGGGGATATCAACTGCACAACAGGCACGTGACTCAGAGCGTGATATAATGCCTTGAGACTGGAGATAAAAATGATTGCACCACAAGTAATCAAGAATGGGGACAATATGCCAGGGCTACCAGTGATAGGTGTTCTTGCTCTACTTCTTGATCTAACTGGTGCTGTCACTGCTCTCTGTTGAATTGCAAGTCACTGCCTCCCATGCCAGATTAAAGGAACCTAGAGATGACATAATGTTATAGTAGCAGAAAAAGAGAAAATGTAGTGTGGAGAAAAAAATAGTGCAAGTGATGGAGAACTTCACTATGTTAAGGGCAGTAAAAATAAAAGCAATAATGTTCATGCTAAGGAAATGATGTGAAAATGTCCTAGGCTGCTGAGATGCATACGAGGACTTAATGTTCCCCTTGTATCTACAAACTTGTAGCAGTTTGGACATTTACATTGCTTTCATTTTATCATCCTGCTGTCCTTCAGTTACTCATCATCCTTTGTGCAAGAATGTAAAATAATAGTCTATAAAGCACCTTCCAGTGTAGCATGCTTGAGTAAAACAGCAAAGGAAATATTGGCAGCATCAGCAGGAAAAGGAAAGAAAGACAGCAGAAGGGAAGGGGAAGTGGCTAAGTCAGCAAGAGGTAGCTTAGACCACTGAAACACAATCTTCTCAGAACAAGAATCCTTTCCATCTGTCAAATCACACACAGAAATGACAGTAAAGAAGTTTTCCAAGATGTTTGTTATATTCAATGCACACATATATGTATATGTGCTTGCATACACACACTTTTTTATTATTTCATTGATTTTAAAAATCAACCACAAAGAACTCAGGGAAATTGAGCATCTCCTTTTGACTGTGTCTTAACATATTTGTGACCATGGACATTAATTATCACAAAAAGGATAAATGCATGTTTTCCTCATTTCATTAAACTCTTAGTCTGAAATTCAGTAAAAAAAATGAAATTCTCATAATTACTAGAAACATTCAAATTTGGATCTGCTGAATTGATTTGATTGGGGAGGACTGGTGTTAATTCAGAAGTAGGGTATCACTGTTGAAATCAGAATGCATCGCAGTGTTTCAAGAACAATGGTTGCATTTAGCTTTTCTGTGCTAGATATTTGTAATAGAGATTGCTTCCTACATCTACCACATCCCTATTAGTTCTCTGACCTGCTTGACAAGGAAGGTCTTCATCATGGTGTGACAGCTGTCCTTCTGAATCACTTAGACATGTTAATAATGACCTTTCCTGCAAGGGCAAGATAAATTAGCCAAGAAGTCTTTAGAGCAATTTGAAATGTCCACCTACCGGGATGATCTTGGTGTGCGTGTGCCTGTGAATTTTAGGTGATTTTTATATGATCTCATAAATCCTAAGATTGACGTAGGTGGGAGGGGAGAGGATTGTGAAGTACTAAAACCTGGGACATGTTTTATTTTTTATATTATTTTTTAATTTCTTTTGGTTTTTTCCCCTTACAGGTGTTAAGTAATTATATCTAGAGTACCCCACTAGATTTGCAAATTGACCATGTTGGAACATGAGCTGTTTTAACAGCTTTTGACAGTTGCTCAAAAAAGAGGCTAAAAAGCAGGCAAAACCATTAACTGAATATCCAGTCTTTCCAATTTGAGAACCCTTGAACTCCCCACGTGTTGATTTTATGTTTCCCTCAGGGAGATATTAATCTCATCTTGCTTCTGTGTAAAATACAGCCCAGGTACAGCTGAATTCTAAATACCTTTTAGCAGAAAATTTTCACAAATGTTAGATTTAAATACATTGAAATATTGCTTGTGGTCTTAAGTTTTGGGAGATCTACTCTCCAGATATATTCTAAGGAAAATCAATTTTGCTTGCCATGTATTTCTTTTCAGTGTTTAAATTCTAGTCCTGTATCTTTGTTATACTTTAAAAGCAGATGTTTCACAAGCTTACATTAAAAAGCTTTAATGTTGTGACTCCTGTGTCTAGATACTTGCAGGCTGGGATTGAGATACATTCAGTGATGCCCACACTTTAAGAACATTCATCTAGTTGCCTTAAACATGCCTTATGCAGTGTTTAATGGGAAGCAAATCTTCAGTTTTAAAAATGGAACTGTGTCTGCCACTAAGAATTTACCTCAAAATTCTAGAAAAACTAAAAATCACATTTCTGCACCTGCAGAGGTTTAGACTGGACTTCAGGAGGCATTTCTTCACTGTTCAGTTGATCAAACAGTGGCTTCCTAGAGAGGTGATCGATGCCCAAACCTGTCAGTGTTTAAGAGGCTTTTGGACAATGTCCTTAACAATGTGCTTTAACTTTTGGTCAACACTAAACTGGTCAGGTGGCTGGACTAGGTGATCATTACTCATCTTCCAAATGAAAAATAATCTATTTTATTCTGTTCTTTCCTGTTGAGCTTTTTTTCCTCTATCCATTACCTATTGAGAAGGTAGGGTATTTTTTACTCAAAATCTTGATTTCACAAGGATTTCTATCACAGACCACTTTACCTGGAAAACAAAAAAAACCTCTTTTGTAGTAACTAGTCTGTAAAAATGCCAATATGTATTCTCGTATTCTGGTATAAAACCACCTCTTTCTAATTTAATTTAATATTTTTTGGAAATCCATCATTAACTACAAAGGATAATAAAAATTTAAGAAATAATGAACACTAGAGTAAGGCTACATTTCGCGAAATGGAGAACATACATCAGTAAAGATGATGAAGAAAATGTAGTGTCTGGCCTTTATCCTTTTTTTTTTCCACTACTCACAGAATAGAATAAGAATTAGGTACTTGTAGAAGCAAATAATAAAGTAACATTGATTTCCTCTTCTGTCCTATAAGATTATTGATCTGTTTTTAACCTAATTGGCTCTTGTGAAAATAAATGGAAAAAACAGTAGGCTATTTATGGGGTTCAAGTATTTTTTCTCAGTAAGAGAGTCCTAGGCCTGCTTGCTCAGGGCTCTGTTGGCTGTCCTAACAAGCTAAAGGTCTGAGTGCTGTAGCATACTGTATTTGCTTTGTTCTTCTTCTCTTTAATCTCATGTTTCTAATTATTTCTTGTAATTCAGAGAAGGTACATTGCTAAAGATGTCTTTATGTCTTGATACACAACAATTGAGTACCTACTGTTAAAAAAGTAGTTTGTCAGTGAAAGTCTTATCTAACATAAAAATGGACAGCTGATTAAAGGAAAGAGATAAAAGAGGTTTTCTAGTTTAGCCCACCAGAGTTTGTGGGAATCAAATGACCGTTATTTCTCCTATATCCTGCCTGTAGATATTTTTAATCAGTTATACTTTCCTGCACTATATAATTTACTACATAGAATCCAAAGACTATGTTACCTCAATATGGATCTGCAGATATTTTGTTTGTGAGAAAATTTACAGATGGTTGGGCCCCTAATTCACATGCATAAGTGTCTGCAGGTTTGAGGAATTAATTAAATTTTGGTCTAAATTTCCCACACTTTCTTTTAGGCAAAGCAGCACTAAAGGAATTGCACATATATTCAGTGACAGTATTTGTATTGGCTTTGGCAAGCTTTGGCTCAATCTCCGAGCTGTATAGTTTGGATGTTGAGCCTGGTGCTTGAAGATACATCATATGAAATTTTATTGCCATCAGAAGTTGTCCTGAAGCTTAAGGCTATGTGAGAATCAGAATCAGGACAGTTAATTACAAATTACAAGTAAGAAACAATGATAAAAACGTTTTCAATTGTTTCAAAAAATGGATAAAGCTGCATGCTTTTCCTTCATATTTGATATAAGTTGTTTCATAAATATTTTTTTAAAAAAGGTAAATGGAAATTTTTAAAAAACAAAGATACAAGTGTTTACACACTTATAGCTCAAATTATGGTTATTTGGGGTGATCATTTAATTCATAGCAAGCATTTTAGCAAAATGCTGTCCTCATAGGGCTGCTGAAGATCGCTGTCCCATGTTTGCATCTGCAATGCAATAGCTCCTGGGGATACAGAGACAGATGATTCCAGATGACAGACATCTGTTTGCCAGTATCCAAAAAGGAAAACTGTGTTTTAAAACCTGTTTAAAACACTATTGCAAAACCAGCTTTATCTAGCTCATTTGGATTTTAAAGCTGGATATTTGTGTGCTCCTTTGGGATAAGATTTGGACCATCCCTCCTGTAGAGTTTTGTTGTAGAAGAACTGCATGTGTATGTTATTTTGCATGCTGTAGCAGTGTGCATATGTGAAAAAGGGAGGGAGGAAAAGAGAAGTAGATTACAATACCATTAGATGGTTCCTGTGTCTGTTCGAAGCAGTTAGCCATGGATACGGTTTTAGCATGGCTAAAGCTGTGGCTATTAGCAAGATGATTTATATCTTACCCCTCTGTGCTAATTTAATGCTATTGTTTTCTCTGTCTGCTCTTGTAAACAAAACAGAAGTACTCTGCTGTCTCTCTCTGCAACATATCTACAGAAGTCCTGAAAGTCATCAATGCCACTGAAGAACTAATAGCAGAATCCACCGATCCCTGTGATTTCCCAGATGACATTCAGGACAGAGGAAGAGGGACCCTCCCATTGGGTACAGACCCTGTCAGACTTGATGAGCAGCTCACCACACTGGAAGAAAACGTAAGAACATGAGTCAGTATGTGAAAGAGTCACATGTGTGAGTGACTGTGCCTATGTGTACGCACCAACTTGAAAGGAAAAGCACACAAGCAGCATCAGTGAATGTTCAAAATTAATCTGAGGTTATTAAACAAATACACAAACAGAACAAAAAATCCAATTTCAACAGGTTCTTAGCTGTGTTGGTGGGCTTATGCATACCTTAAAATATTGTGGGGAGGGGAAGTTGGATGCTTTGGTGTTTACAACTAAATGTAGAATCTCTATCTCAAAAGTTAACTTAAGCCCTCCGAATCTCTGTGGCTGTGCAGCTGTGCCATGCCTGGCTGAAACCACAGGTCTCCCAGTGTCAGCACAACCTCATTATTCCAAGGGTAGGTGGGGAAAGCATGTCCCCAGCCACACAGAGAAGTGGAGAAGCTCTTCCTCATTCCACACGTCCCCAGCACACTGTGCTGAGTACCCAGGGAGCTGGAGCTCCTTGCTACACTGTTAGAAAGTAGGCTGGAGAATCTGAATTAAACAAACTTCTGTTTGGCCACATCCAAATCATCCTTTTTCATGAGTCCCTGCCATCTGCAAGAGAAAGTACAGTGCTGAATCTTAGGGGGAAGTCACTACTCATTGGAAATTTTTATGCATCCATTTTTATAACCTCTCCTTGCCACCTCTGCTCAACCTTGCCAGGCATCTCACTGTGCCAGCTGAGGTGCTCCTGCTCCTTTTCACTCCCACATGCTGTCCTGGGTGCTGGCACCTCCTGCCCTCCCTCATGGGGCACCAGAGCCACTTGAACCTGCCCCAGCATGGAGCTTTCCATGCAGTGGCCATGCTCCTGGCACCTCTCTGAGAGGAAAATTCAAAACAAACAAGCAAAATAGGCTTGGAAGCCCTCCCCAGTGGGGCTGAGAGAGCAGGATGTGCCCAGGAGAGGCTGGATGTCTGGCAGCTCAGATATGGCCCTCTGCAGAATGATAAAGGCTTCCCATAGCAGTTGCTGCTCTAGTGCCTGGAGAAGGCTGTACCTGAGCTTGTGGGAAGTGAAGTGCCTTCCTTGTGCCACCTACCATGATATCTATGTCATTGTTACATGAGAGATGTGCCCTAACAGCAACTTCTAGCTAACTTTAGTTAATTTTTTTCAGAATAATGGAAGTAGATGAGTAGATGGAGATTTTTCTCTCCCGTGAAATACTAAAGTGTCCTAGCTCCAAACACCACAGAATTCATCTGGCAGGAGAGTGAATATGGAATAAAAATTCAAGTCCAGGCTGAACCACATATTTAGAAAAACTAAGAAATTCTGCAGTAAGGAGAGCAATTTGGGAAAATCTGCTCCCACATTTTTTTTCTGTAGAGAACTGTGTTGTAAACAATCTTAGGGTGCTTTCCCCCCACACATACTTGCACTCTGACAATCCCTCACATCCGTGTCGAGCTTTGGCATCTCTGGTGCTGTGGCCCCTAGTCGTTCATTTGGGTCCAGCATTTCTCACTGAGCACAGAGCAGGCACTGAGGCAGAGCATTCCTTGCTTTGGTGTTGCCCTCACTGCAGCATGTCTCTCAGCTCCCTGCAGAATTCATAAGGTATCCAATTTAGCCTTGCTGTGTCCCCAGAGTACATCTTTCTGTCCCACATGGGACATGAAGTAGGTGGCAAGAACTCAGCTTCAAGATTTCACCACCACACTCCATGGCAGAGTTAAAGAGCCTTTAGAAATTCAGGAATCCATAACTTTTCCCATTGCAGCTGGAGCCAGATCTACATGCAGCACATCATCTTTGCAGCAAATTCTGGAAGAGGATCTGGGTGTTATAGACACTGTTCATTTTTGCCCTCTCTATCTTGTAGACTGTGCATGCATTAGTGTGGAGAATGTAGGGCCACCTGTACCCACACAAGGTTGGGTTTTAGTGGAAGCTGTACATAAATGGCGGTAAAATAAATTTCCACCATCTGAATGTGAATGTATAAATAAGGGCATCATTCAGGGGAGTCCTGCAAGGACACCATTGCTGTTGGGAAGTGCACCAATTGTTCAGATGAAGAGAATATTCTTTAGAAAAATCTTTTCTTTAGATCTAGCTGGAAAAGTTTCATTAAAATTTAATAAAGGTAGGGACTGAACGAGTTACAGAAACATTGACGACCTTCCTTTCCCACATTTTTCTATCAGTTCTACTTTCTTTAGATTTTTTTCCCCTCTTGAAAAGTACGTCTTACTTTGCAGAGATTTTTGGTATAGCATTTAAATGCAAATTTTCTTTACTTTTCTAAAGATGCTTCTGTTCAAAATGTTTATTCTTCTTCTTTCTCTAAGCTTTTAGATGTGACAGAGAAATTTCTAGAAAATTGCCTTTTAATCTGAAGTACCTGTGGTATGTCATACCACAAAGACGTATCATTTAAATGAATGGGAAGAATAATTACAACCCACAAAAACAGGATCGTTTCTATTTAAATCAGCATGTTAACTTTATGGACCACCTGTGTCTCCAAGTACTCAGCAAAAATGTTAAATGAGATTACTTATTTGTTCTAGGTATGTTTTCCAAAGATTTCATGCCTGCAGTTAGCCTGTGTTCTTACAAGAGGCAATTTGTACAGATATAGTGAATTTGTTTCTTAGGAAAGTCACACGCATGAAAAAAAGCTATCTACATTTATGCCTTGAAACAACTGATACAAAGGAAAAAAACACTTTTGCAAGCAATTAAGAAACAATAATGAAATAAAAAAATAATAGAAAGTAAACTATTAAATTTTAATCTGGTCATTCTTCAATCCTTTTGATCCATAAAGTCACGGCATGGCCAGAAATTGTTTGAATACCTGTTATGTCAAAGGACTGCATGATCTAGGAATTGTGGGCAGATACAATGACTGGAGTGAAAGACATGTATGAAATGAAGGTATCGGCTCAAAGATCTGCTTTAGATTCTGTTTGCTTGCCCCCTGAACAATAAAGTGGAGCATAGAACATGTTTAATTCATTTTTAGCAACACAGTCTTTACTGCTGTTACAGTTAGCGAGGCTGCCACTGTGGAAAATCAGAATATGTATTTCATTTCCACTGTGCTGTTACCAGCCTCATGGAAACAATCTCTTGGCTAACTAGTAAATAGGCAGAAAGTACAGTATTTCCACATGGTACTGTGCAGTCTTAAGCACAGATGTCAAAAGTTAATGCTTGAAAATTACCCTTTTCTAAGCGCCAGAGACCTCCATCCAGCTGTGTACCTTAGATTTCTTTGTGAAATAAAAGAAACAATAAAATGCAGTATACCGTGAATTATTGCTCTGAGGAGCTGAATGGAAAATGAAACCTTTAGCTGTAGTTATCATAGGTGTCCTAGGTGGATCGAAATATTAAAAGTTGTTCATTTTTAGAGAAGAACTCTAAATTAGCAAGTCAGTAATTCTGTCTTATTTGGCCCATATAAGTCTATTGATCCTCCAAAGATTCACTAAAAGGCCCAGGAGGTGGGAAGGATTTGGCTGCTGTATATTTGGGTGAGAGCAGTATGGGAAGGAAAACTGTTATACATGTAAGCACAGTTAGACTATAAGAAGTTAGTAATTATGTGCTGCTGAACAGTTATTCATGCACCTTTGATTGCCAGAAGGCATTAGGCATGTTTTAATAAATGCAGCTTTATATGAGGCATGATCTGTTGATTTTCCCTTATAGACTTAGGGGGGTTGTTATGCAATTGAATATCAATAATGAAAAAGCAAACTTTTCAACTTTCTTCTTTGCTGATCAATCTGGAACAAATATGTTTTGGAATACCATTGTAGCACCTATGAAATTTGTAATGCAGCCACCTCATTCTTCCCTTCTCTTAGTGGGTGTGTGTGTGTTTCAGATTATTCCCCCATGCCTTTCTTCTGCCAGGTAAGTCTCCCTGTAGTGGGTTAGCAAGCAGGGAAACTCAAAGGTATCATGGAAAATGCAGTCTGATCAAACCTCCATGCCCACAAAACATTGACATCTCTCCCTGCTTTGGCCCTGCAGGTGTACCTGACAGCCAGCACGGTGTACGGGCTGGAGGGGCAGCTGACCAACCTGGAAGACGCCGCACGCAAGATCAACAGTGTTACTGAAGAATCTGAGCTGGCCGATCTGGAGGATCAGGTGGCCACAGCAGCTGCCCAGGTTCATCATGCAGAGCTTCAGGTGAGGACAGCAGCTCCTCCCTATCTGCAGTTTTCCCACTGCCTTGCCTAGCGCTCACCTCACTGCACACACTTGCTTTGAATATTCTTTTGTACTGCAGCAGTCTGATGATTTAAGGATGCTGACTGCATCACATGAGCTGAGCAAAGCATAACTGAGACATGTAACTCAGCCCAGGCAGATGTACTCTGTTTGTTTGTTTCTTCCCTCAGCTTGTTTTTGGACATGGGAGTGCAGCAGCCTGTTATTGCAACTCCTTGCTGCCCGGCAGCTCACGTGGTGCGCTCTGTGTCATGTGTGTGGCTGTGGTCAGGCTGCAAATACAGTCATAGGCAGTTTATCTAATCAGCAAATTGTAAAGCACTTCCCAAAAGAAACCAGTGTTGGCAGCTTTCTATTGACAAAGGCCAATGCCAGTCAGAGGCTGAGCCAAGCACAGGGCCTAGCACTTGCAAGCCTACCTTGGGATTTAGGCGCTAAGCAGCACACATCCCAGCCAAAAGGCACTAGCTTTTGTGGAATGCAATCTAGCATCACTCTAGCAGGCTCCAGAAGTTCTAGGGCTCAGAAGAACACATCGTGATCTGGTGCTAAAAGCTGAACAAGGTAATGCTGCCAGACCTCAGGGTGCTGACACTGCTTGCAGGTCACTGTCAGTGATTTCACTGACCGGTCTGTATCCAGCGGGACACCCTGAACTGCCTGTGACAGGGTCTATTAGGAAGTAGCTGATGATTTTACTCAACAGAAGCATGCTCAATTCAGGACTGAGCAATAATCTGAGAGTCTGACATCTCCCTGATGCCAGAAGTGCATTGTCACACTAGCTGGCAAACTGGCAATGATGTTTTGTTGGCTTTGGTCATTATTTTATAAATCTGTTAATGGAGGTGACCAGTGAGGAGGAGAGAGGCCTAAGCTATGCAAGGAGGATGGCAAAGAGGCCAATGGAAGGTCTTCTGCAGAATGAACAGCTTCAGGTGTCATGAATCAGGATTGAGATTATATATGTCTGACTTCTTTGATACTTTTTTCCCCTTTGTCAACACTTTTTTCCATTACTCTCAATATCAGACTACTTTCCCCCAAGCAATTTGTTTTCCATTCAGTGTTTTTATATAGTGTGTGCCTGCGTGTTTGTGCTTAATATACATATACATTTAAATTATAAATATGTAAGATCAAATGTTTAGATTTTGTGACGGAGGATGTACTTTGCATGAGAGTTAGGAAATGTGTCCCATGAAGTCATTCTTTGAATGTAGCCTTTGAAAAACACAGTTTGAATGAAATTGTGATTATGCAGCTAAAGGTAACTGGGAGATGGCAGATGCAGGTTTTCTCTCCTCCTTTCTTTTTTTCCTCAAAAGGAGTAAAATGCCTCTTCCTTGGATTCACAAGGTAGGTTGGATTGTTCTTTTACTCCATCTTTACTAACAAATTAAGCCCCTTTTAACATCAAGACTAAAGAATTCAGGGAAGTGTCAGAATTGCTGAAGAAGTTAGCCACCTGTTTATATTTTTTTAATAAAGAGGATTTGACTGGGGGAGGGTTATATTTTAGTAGTGGCATCCACAGTAATTTTAAAACTTCTTTTCCCCCCTCCCCATCTGTCTGTCTCTCTCTTTTATTTTCTTTGAAGATTTCAGATATTGAGAGCAGAATATCAGCTCTCACTGTTGCAGGCTTGAACGTGGCTCCCTGTGTTCGCCTGACAAGGAAACGGGATCAAAAGCAAACAAACCAGGTGCCAGAACATTATGTAGTATTCAAAAATACATTGGGGAAATCTTGCCTCTTTTTCTATAATGGAGTTGAGTAATGCATATGTGTTATTTACAGATGCATACAATAGACACATCAAGACAGCAGAGGAGAAAACTTCCAGCTCCACCAATAAAAGGTGCGCTTCAATTATTATGTACATTAGAGAGAGAGAGACTCTCTTTATAAGGTTCGATATAATGTATGGTTCAGCAAAGTAGGGGAAAGATTGTGTTACAAAATCAAAGCCTAAATATGTCCATCCTCCTCATTTTCCATTGTACTTGCATTATACAATATACCCATTTGTCATATTAAAAAACATCACCACTTTCTCTTCAGTGAGAGTTGTGACAGTGGCAAAAAAATAGAAACAGAAGCAGAAGGCTGGAAAAAGAAATGCTGAGGAATGCTGAATACTTGCAAGAGGCATGCTGCCCCTCCAGCATACCTGTTGTTAGTTTGTGACACCCAAGTGATTGCAGTGACCAAAAGCCAATGGCCACCCTCCACAATCCACCACTTTCTTAAAGCCTGTGTTTGCTAATTTCAGTCCATATGATGTGGCTCAGCAATGTTCCTGGTATGTTATGCAATGGCTGTGAATTTGCTTTATAAAATAAAGTGCTTTTTTTCTGTTTTCTCCTTTTGGTTTTTTTTTTTTTAGCCCCATGGTGCGTTATCTCTGACAGTTCTAGGACCCAATTCACCTTGCATTACTCTTTTGTAATTCCACAGATTGACATAGCCTCAAACTTTAATAAATTTGGAGTACCACAGCCTGCTGTTTTTAATTTACATTAAATCCAGCTTTCCTCATACATCTTAGGGGAGGTTTTATCTCTCTGGAAGCTGTGACTCTTCATAAGTACTTTTACATCTGCTTCAATCTCTTATGTGAAAAATCTCCCTTTTTGTATCTTTCTCAGGTGAAACAATAGATGGTTCTCCAGTTACCACTGTCAGAACGTTTAACAGAAACTTCATGCTTCAAGGATCTCTAACACAAAGAACTAAAGAGAGGAAAAGCACTGCCAAGGACTTAATGGTAAACAAATGTTTTTAAAACTCTGTTAAAAGCAGTAAATAGAGAGATAGCAGTATGTGTGTAGGCAGCTATATTTCAGCATCTTCACAAAACATCTCTTGATAGTTTGAGGAAAAAAAAAATAGAGACTGCTGAGGCAGCTCTAAGGAAATCTGACCAGTGTCCTGGAAGATGTACACCATAGTATAGCAGCTCCTGAATGTCAGCCTGTGAAAATGTACCTGGCTGCCAGCTCTCCAGGAATGTGCTACCCTTACTTTTAAAAAAATAAATAAATTAGTGGTCCCCTGCAATTCAGACTTCTGAAACAGATCCTCACAGAACCAGCTGCACACTGTAACTTGCAGGTGAGAGTCACCTTGATTCTCACTAATTGTTGAGAAATGTTCCAGTGTTATCTAAGTGGATTTAAGGGGTAGTTAGGCCACATATTGCTCTGCAGGATTTGAACAAATAGGCTTCACTAGACAGCTGTCAATCATTTCTTCTATAGCAGCCATATAGGGATAAAGGGAAAAAACTGTTCTGAATCAGTCTGGCACTGGATATATGAGAAGGGGAAGGACCTGGCTCTATAGAGCTTCAGCAGGCTTGTTTTGTGTTTCATTCATGTTTTCTTTCCTGTCCTTCTCTGTTCTAGGAACCTGCTATAGGATCTGCTGTGATGTACTAAACTTAAACTTCCCTACTGCCAATAACACACTGCCTAAGGCTGTACACTAGAGTGCCTTTACTTAACAGCCATTGCATATGTCCAGCTGAAAATGGACCCTCAAGAACCCACAGAGCCTCAGTTATAGGGCTTCATTTGGATACCTCACTGAGAAAGCTGTCCAAGTCTTCAGCATTGTGGTCTGCTACAGGAAACTCTGCCTTAAAGTTCTCACAGGACTCTAGACAGGATGCTGAGTTTCAAAAGCAAGGCTCCACATTTTAAGATGCACTTTTTCTCCCTATTGATTGTACTAAAGTATGTTGTCTTTAAACTGCAGTATGTTTTTGTACACTCAATCAGTCATAATTATAGGCCAAATTATCTGCCAAAGCAGACCTGTGATCCATATTTGCTGGCCTCTTACTATTCACGTAGGCATCCGTCTTGTTGAGCAATAAGAACAACTCTGTGCAGTGTGTGCCGCTTTTCAGCTGCATGGTGGGTGTGGAGAATCAGTGTAAGTTTTGAGAGGGTTTGTAGGAGGAGATGTGATGTGCAAAGTTTTCTCTGTTCACTGAGGGTACGTTTGGCAGATTGAATGCTCTAGAGCTAGGTAAATTGCTCTTGGCAGCATGGGGAGCATGGATGTCATGTTGAACCATGAATTGGTGGCCACACATGTGGACCAGATGTCTGTTGAGTTACAGTCCTGGTGTCTGGAAACATCTGAACACTGTTGTGAAACCAACACCTTTGTATGTCTTGTTCTTCTTGGTAGCATTGTCCACTTGATGGTGGCCAACCACGCTGTAGTTCAGAATAAATTCTGTCCAAACCTTTAAGATTGGAAAAAGAAAGTAAAAGTGTTGTGGATGAGATCTCTGCTGACTGACTGGTGGTTGTAGGGTGACTGCAGCCTGTAAGAGGTTCCTTTCTAATGTTCCTTGGTGTTTCTGAGAAGGGGGCAAATGTAGCCCAGACAACTCTTCCTTCACTAGTCTGTAGCCAACATAGAGTAGCTGAGTCCTGTTGCTGGTGCCACATGTACCCCACTACCACTGGACCACTCTGAATTCAATTGTGAATAGTAATATTTCTTCTTTCATTCCTTGAGACCTTTAAAAGGTGAGTCAAACTGGAAGACCCTTGAGCAGAAGTCCTGGAGGAATATGCTGCTAACAGGGTGTTCCTCTCACCCCCTGGGGAAGGGTGTTGCCAATTCATGGTATTTTATGCTCTGAAGAATACAAAGGAGGTAGTTAGAGGAGGTGATAAGCCAGTGAATCCCTTGCCTTCCACACAAGTGGCAGAGCAGGTACCCAAATGCAGACAGGGTTGGCATGAAATGTGCTGTCAAGAAGGGCACAGGCTAGCAAGTTCCACCTCAGCACTGAGGAGTGGCTAGCCCTCCAGGGAGCCCTGGGTACTAGGAAGGGAAGAGGGTTCCTTCTTTCCCTGGGCTCCCAGTGAACACCCACAGGCAGAGTGTCACATGTTACCTGCCATACAGCAGGAAAGCAGTCCTCTCAGACACCAGGCCATGAAATGTCTGTGGTTAGGCAAATATGAGCAAAACTGGGCAAATTTCCTGACTAGGCTGCATTTAGGGGGGCAAGTGGGGAAGACAAGGAATGGCTGGATGAGTTGGTTGGAAAAATGGTTCCAGATGCAAATCTGCTACCCACATCTGACATTTAGCTTGTCAATACTCTGATGTCCAGCTGCATGTAAGGAACCCTTGGAATAAATACAACCATCTTCCCACCTAGAATACATAAGCATCATTCCATCCCTTCAAGGAATTTCCATCTGCCCAAGATCTGAACCAGTGTGTTCATTCTGGGTGAAATTAGGCCTTCTTTTACTCTCACACAATACTAGTTCTCTAAAATTGGTTTGCACAGATGTGAGGGCAGAATTCGGCCCACTCTGTTTAATATATAAATATATACATAAAACAAATAGATTTTATTTATATATGCAATCCGGTAAAGGAGATTAAACAGAGTAGGATGCCTAGTAATTTTTTTGTTATTCAGTCTTCTCCTCCATTGACTGTTCTCGTGTATGTATACAATACATTCCCAGGTTCTGGTTTATGCAGGTATGCGTGTTATGAAATGTCATTAATGGTGGTTGGTCTGCATATTTGTTTAATAAATAATAACTAATATTGTGTATGTAATATCAATACAGAAATTACTAATTTTAATAGAATAATTCTTTGGCTTTTGTTCTGTTAGTGTGATTTAAACAAGCCAATGAAGTTTGGAATAGGTTGTTTTCCTTAAGAGGCATGAAAAGCAACTATTATCGTGTTACAATGTTAAAATATTCAGTCTTCTTTGACAGAAAAATGTGTACTGTGTAGGCATTGCAAAAAAAAAAAAAATTTAAAAAAATCCCACCTGCTCTAAGGCATTTGAATTTTTACAAATGTTTATTGTGCCAAATACGTGCAAAGATATAATTTCCTGTTTTAAAAAAATCATAAAAACATATGTTATAGCACACAAAGAATTATTTTGTCATCAAGTGATTTCAATCTTTAGTGTTAATATTTATAATTAGATTAATTTTTATAAATGAAAATATTTTAATGGGTAAAATCAAGACTATATGATCTATTTGATTAAGTCTGAGTGAATATTAAGCTTGCCTTGTTGTTGTTATCTGCATACTCACCAAGAATTATATGTCAAGAGAAATTATAAAAGAGTAAAAGCGATTTATGAAAAGAATGCCTTTTCAAGGACTTGATTCATAAAGAAAAACAAAAAGTTCTTCTCTGTGGTTTCAGTTTATGTGCCCTTTGGCCAGGAAGCGTGCAGAACACACAGCCACGCATGGGGCTCAGGTGCTGCCTGTCTACAAGTGACACGGTCACACCTGGGAGATGGGCAGCTCCACAGAGGTACCGGGGTTTGCTGAGGGGAAGGGGACACACTCAGTTCAGACTCCCTTCTTTAGGGCTGGGGTGAGAGGAATCGTGTCAGGAACATTTGATGGTTAGTCTTCTCTAAAATATCAAGTCTGTTAGGTGAACTATCATCCCAAACAGTTTCTCAGGTGGAATTTCTTTAACTCTCTTTGGGATTGCTACAAAATCTGAGCAAGAACCCTGCCAATAATCTTAATCTCATATTTCCAAAGTCCTGTGCGATGAATGCTGATCAAAATAATTATTAGTATATATTCTCCACCATGAAAGAATTCATTAAAACTAGCATGTTTTAAGTAACACTTTGGGTCAGCAGATATGTTGTATTATAAATGGTAGTAACTACCTTATTATAATAAAAATCCATCCATTGCTGACAGACCATTTGCAAAGAGAAAAAAGGGTTAAGATATCTGCAATGGTTAATTCAATCACTGTTTAATTTTAGTAGTAATTCTAACAAAGCACAACTAGAAGCGGAAGTTCATTCTACTTTGTCTGTTGCAGAATGATTCATGGCCTGGATTTAACTATCAGTCATTACCTAATTTGTAAACTATCTCTTTTGGATATAAGCCATAGATTAAACATAATTATTCCTGCTAATAGTTATTAATCAACATTAAACATATTCTAAATAACACTTCTTATAAAATTAATATAACAAGGTTATATTAACATGAGTAAACATGAGTGTTGAGCCACAACCCCAGGCTTATTGATGTGGACTAACGTAGTAGATGGTACATGGCTTGTGATCCTCAAAGAATGACCTGAGCTTGCTCAGATACGGTACTTGGAAACAACTACATTGTTTTAAAGGTAATCAGCTAGTTCAGGCCTTTACCCCTTTTGAAAAATGGTGGATGATTATATGCAGTAGGCACAAAACTACTCCAAGGAGTTCAATTAGCCAATTTTTTTTCCTTGCAGGGGAAAATACTTATCTTTGATAGGAGCTCCTCTTTGTTCATTAATATATCTCTCAGCAGTACAGGAAGAATCATGAAGGGCCAAGGGGTACTTCAGGGCAACATTCTTATGAGTGGATGTTAACAATCTCTATAAAAGCTACACACAGAGAACAAGCATTTCATGCCATTAATGCACGAAGGTACATTAAAAATCAGTGAGAGCCTTTTTTCTTTCTTCCAACCATTGCTTTTTATTTTTACAAATCAACAGCCATTGACTTTGAAATGAGACAGGAGGGTTTCATGATACATGTCATGTTTAAATCCCAGCCCAAAAGCTGTGTTGGTTTTGGATAAACCTAGCATTACAGTGAACAGCATCAGGAGATTGGTGGGGATGCATGATGAAGAAACATTTTTATAGGCTGTGGTGGCAATCATTGCTTGTGTCCATGCATTGTCTTTTACCTGCACCCTGAACATGTTTTTTTTTGAATGAACTTGCACAAGGAGCAAAAAGAAAAGCAGCGTGGAATTGCTGGGCAAAAGCAGAACTGTAGGTCTGAGGTGCAGGGGAGGGCACAACTCAAAGAACAGAGGCTGGGTCACCACCTTGGGGAACAAAGATCACCAGTCACTGTCTTCTGTGTCCAACATTTTTTGCTTCCACAAAGCATTCAAAATGAAATCCAGGTGTCTGCTCACAGGCCTGAGGGTGCCATGGCTGCTTCTCAGCTGCCTCTTCCCAAACCTGCCGATGGGACGAACCCCACGGCCCACATACCAAAAAGGATCAATCTCAGGACCTGGAATTCAAAGCAGTCTGTGAGGCATCTACTACTGCACTTAGAGGCAGTGTTTCCTGAACATCTTGAGGATGTAGCCCACAAGGAAAAACAAGGGGAAAGGCTGCAGCCAGACACTTGCTGGTGCCTTTGAGAATTGCTTTCTATGTATAGACTCCGAAAGAAGAGAATTCAGACGCAAAATGAATTTTCATCCATCTGGTCTGCAACCTGTATTTTTAACATATGCCAAATTATCCATCAGATTTTTCTGCAGTGTGTACCAGGTACACTATTTCTATAAGCTAACAAATCCACTAGATTGCAGAGGGGGTTCCTATGTGAGGGGTAAACATTAAAATTAATTATTGTTCACTTAGCAAGTTGTTTCCATGGGTGACTTTTTTTTTTCTTTTAAAGCATCTGACACTTGACTTATTTTTGTAGTCTAATACAGTTCTGGAGCAGGTGTGGAGAGGGGTATAGTTCTATTAAAGGACTAAGATATAGCAAGAGGGAAATTCTACAATGTGCTGGAGATGATCCCACCCCAAGGAAATGCCAAATCATTCCGAAGCCAGAGACCTGTCAGGAACAGGAACAGACTACAAGTTAAGCACATTATATATCATCCCAGTGATATGAAAGTCTCAGGCAAGGCAGGAGGATTTTCCCCAGTGCATTTTGATGCTTGAACAGAGAAAATAAAAAGTTCACTTTGCCTTTAAATTTCTCCATAAATGTATCTTTTAAGTCTTTCAGCACAATGTTTAACACCCCTCCTACCCAACAAAACCCAAGTAACTTAATTTTTTTCACCTATGTACCTAAAAACTGACGTTCCCAACATCTCTAGTCCTCTTTAATGGGGAAAGATGTGCTACTGAGAGCCCACGCACCTTACTCCTCACATCCCCTTTCTCCCACTCCACATACAACTATCAGCCTTTGCTCCTTGGGGAAAGACAAGAATTCTTGATACGATTTTCTCAAAAATCTTTTGGACTGTGTGTAAGCTTTTACTTGGGACACATGGTATTGTCCCTCACCTGGCCAGCCTCATTTCCTCACAGCATCTCTGAATGGAGACACTCCAGCTACTCGTATTTGGACTTTCAGACAACTTGTGCTCCCAGACAGAAATGAAGATGTCCGTAAAGTGAACTTAAGCTTCTGGCCCTTGCTTTCTTGTTATATAGAAGTGGTTGTGAACTACGTCAGGTCTACAGAATACAGCTGATATTTGGTGCTTAAATATTTGATGTATACTACCTTACATTTTCTTATCTTTTGCATATTAGTGTCTTCTCTGATATTTATCAGCAATATTGCTATTTGCCTTGGTTAATTAAAGGCTATGAGAAAGACATGAAGTTCTGCATATGGTTAAATGGAAGCACAGGATCCCACACCAACATTTCACCATAGAAACACCTACATGGATTTGCTGCTGAACTCTTCCTGACAGCCCAACCCTGATCCCTCAGTGCAGCAGAGATTGCAGGGTCACCATTATGTCAGGTGAGAATCATACTTACTTCTGTTGTCTATCTGATGTTTAAATGGCCTGCTGTGTCCTGAAGCAAAGCTGAGCGATACCAAGAGCACCAGCACATAGACAGTGACCAGCTTTAAGCGGTTTGGTGACCACTGGGCACGTGGTGTCCAGGAGATTGGATGCCACATGACAGAGCAGTGGTGGGAAGGCTGTAAGGAAAAAAGCGAATATGGGGAACACACATGAGTTTAAGTTCTCAAGGTGAAGTAACGCGTCAACTGGAACAGCGTGCTCCTATCCAACAGAGCCATTTTTTGGCTCTAAGTCCTGTGGAACACTGATGCTGGGGATGTCCTGGGCATTTCTGTTTGAAGGTCAAGGCTGTGCAGTGAGCCATCTACTGAGGTAAAAAAATATTTTCTCTCCAGCAGTGAAAGCCCCTGACATGGTTTCACAGGGCACTTGAGTCCCTGAGCTCACTGCTGACTGCTGTGTGGCCCTCTGTATGACCATGGGCATCGGCCACCAAAGTGTGTTTTAGCCACTACCTCTGGCATCCTTTCCTCACTTGTAAAATGTATCTAACATTTGCATTTTACACACACTTTTTACAACTAAATGCATTTCAGTATTAAAGAGAATGATCCTCCTGTGTCATCACACCCAGAGTACAAAAGTACGATTTCCAGTTATGGTTTCCACTGATAGATGTCGCAATCCTGTAAATGCTCCCAGATGCAACTGAATGAGAAATGCCTCCCATCTCCCCATGGGACAGGCTGGGCAGAACAGAAAGTGCTAAGCTGGGAAAATTGCATCCAGGAGGTGAATGAGCCCAGGCTCAGGTTACCACTTTCTCTAGCATTTTGTACAAGCTTCCTTGCAGCAGTTCTCCCAGCTGACATGCCAGGACAGTCTGTCTTGTAACATGCAAGGTCTGCCTACGTATTTGACAGCCTGGAGCCTCTCCTACAGAAGTCAGCAGGAGCCCTTTTACTTAAGCATCACTTATAGGAGATATGTAAGTACAGAGCTATAAAAAATCCTCTCAGCTCTGGCTACATAGAGGCTTCTCCTTATGTATGGGTGGGGTTTTTCCCCAGTTGCTGCCAAAATCATAGCCTGCTTTCAGTACAGGCAGAGCAGGAAGGAAAATCTTTGATGTGAGATGCTCCTAAGCACACCAAACAGGCAACACAGCAAAAGCACATGGAGAACATGGTTGAGTCTTTCATTAAAATACAGTCAAAAACTCCTTAACCCCTAGTATTCAGTGAAGGTTTCTCTAAGGCTTTTTCCTACCCCAACAGTTTCTTACCAGGCAGTTTAGAGGAAAGTGATTTTAACTCATGATATCAGAACTGCGGTTTAACTTTTTCTAACTTAAATAGCTCACAACAATCTCATGACAATCACAGGACTACCTTAGCCTAAAACCACAGGGGGTGAATTCTGCCTTCAGTTTCAGCTGGGGTACATCTCTTCTTGCTCCATGTTTAGCAAAGCCTTATGTTCAGTGACAAAAAGAAGGTGTTTTTAGGCATCTCTCCAGTGTGTTTACAGGGTTGCTGACAGGTTTTCCAGATTACTTGCTCTTTTGTTTTGTGTCTTGTTTTTTGGGAACTGTGTTACAGAAAGGAAGAGCTTGCCTGGAGCTCACTGTTGATGAAGGACAAAAATACAGAGAAAAGCTTTTAGCACACACTTTTTCCTAAGCATGCCAGGTTTCAGTCTCCACCAGCTGGTCCTGTGCCTGAATCAGTCATCCCAGCCACCTTCTACAGTGCTGTTATTTATTGAACTTTTTACTCATACTCTTATCCTGGCTAGGGTTTCTGCAAAGCACATCGCTCCCACTGCTCCTCAGTAACATGCCACCCCTAAATAATCAGGGGGCTCAGCATCTCTAATGCTCCCTCATTTTTCTTCTCCTAATTATCCCACCCCTGTTTATATGGGAAGAAACACAGGCAGAGGTAATGCACAGTCCTTTCAAGAGTACTGTGGCTGAGAGATGGCCTGTAATCTCCTGAGGTCCAGACCTGCCTTAGCCCATAGACCTGCAGCTTTCTTTCAAAGGTGAAATTGAAAAAAAAAACAAGACCTCATACAGTTACTCCGTATGCCATCCATTTTCAACCATTAAATAATCATCAAAAAATTTAAAACCTGACTATTTGGAACAAAACTTGACACAATTAAAAGTTTCAGGAATAATTTTGCTCCTGGAGCTCAGCAAAATTCAGCACCACTGCTATCTGGTCAACTTGCCAGTTCTGCTTGGTGCCTAAGCAGAGTAAGTCTTTAAATTTTGGCTGAGCAACATCTGTGACAGTAGTCTGGCAACTTCCATTGACATGAGAGAGGAAGGTTAAAGTCACAAATACAGTTACAGTGAAGCCATGGTATCACAGATTGCCATGGGTCTGCCTCACACAAGGAGTGGGAGACCAGCCTGGCTCTGCCTCTGGGCACACAGGAGCTCTAAGCATACAAAACTCAAGCTCTGCTGCAGACCCATCAGGTACAAGCCTACCATGGTTGTCCTTGGAAGACAAGGTGCTATTAGCTCTTTAAACCCCAAACGAGGTGCTATTAACTATTTAATCCCCAAGCCAGCATCTTACAGGAGATCAGCGGCTGTGTACACCTCCTACAATGCAAATGTCAATAACTTTCATGTTCAAAAGCAGCCCTGGAAGTACCCATGAGAGATCAGACCCTGGGTGAACCCAGGCCTGGGACCATGGCCCATTTCAGGACTGAGTGGCACAAGAAGCATGCGGCTGCACTGGAGGCTGCTGCCTGTGCTCTCCCTGCAGGGACGCACCACTGCCTGAGGGCTCAGCCACATTGCCTCAGCACAGTCTCCTTTGCTACAAAAACTGGACAAAAGTCACTCAGCACAGAGCACAGCTGCGTATGTTAGTGTAGGTAAGCTAAAGCTCAAAAATCCAGCAAGAGCCTGGACAAGCACTGAAGCAGATAGAGGGAGGCACTCACCTGTTTGCACCAAAGCTGCTTCTCAGGTAGTCACTGCTCCAAGTAGAAGCAGGGCAGCTGATGGGGGCTTGTACCTTTTATACTGCAGGGAAGTGGGCTTGAAGCAGGGAGGGGGAGTCAAGAGGTGGGCCAGGAGGACGTCAGCAGTACTAGTGAGCAGGATTTAAATTTACAAAAGGAGGAGTAGAGAATGGTGGCTCTATTAGAAAGCCATTGATCAGGGAAGGGGGCAGGGAGCAGGAGTTGAGGGCAGCGCCAGCGGTATGCAAGGGGGGCCTGGCAGAACACGTGGCTGAGGCCCCAGGCCCGCCAGGAGGAGAGCAGAGGGGAGGAGGCTGTTGCTGTGTTCCTATGGGTGAGTGGACACAGGCAGCCAAGAGCAGCACTAGCTGCTAAGCTTTCTACAGAGGAGAGCCAAGCCCTCTGTGCTGCCCGGCTGAGATGCTCTGTCTGAAGAGCATGTCTAAAGGGGGGAAACATTCATGGCTGGGGATGAGGTATGGGGAGAAAGAGGAGAGAGTGGGAAGGTCTCAGGGCCAGCAAGCTGGAACACTGCAGTCCGTGCACTCCTTCCTCAGCCCTTGTTCTTCTTGCTGTTGTCCCGTCCTTGGCTGTTGCTTGGGATCTTATTTGATGGCAGCCCTAGTTTCATTAAGCCCCTAACTCACAGCTGGGGTCAACTCACCCACGTATAACTTTTAGGTCATACTGCAGCACAGCACCCAAGTAGCTGATGAAATCAGTTGTGATTCAGTGCTTAAGCAGGCACTTACCAGTTTAGTGGCAGAGAAAATTTCACCTGCATGAGACTATCTGGAGCAATATTGTATTTCTACAATAGGCATCTCTTTCGAGTGGTTATTTTTAACTCTGCCTCTTGACTAACGTGTCATCACAGCCTTGCTGGTTAAGACCTCACTGCGTTAAGAGTTAAGACCGTGTTTACCGTGAAGGTTTGTAGAGGAGCAGCAGCTGAACTGGCAGGTGTTTCACACCTTGGGCACCATCCTGCAGAGAAGCTGAGACGTGAAGCATTACTGGGCTGCCTGGGAACCACAGGCTCTCTCTTCACAGACACAGGGTTGTGCTCCAGTCCTGGTGGGACTGACAACCTAAAGAAACAATTTTAAAGTCTGTGCTTAGAAAGGGGGCTCTGAGGCCTGACTCTGTCTAGAAACTGACACTGGATAGGAAATGCTGAAAACCCATTAGGATGAAGAGGAAGTTCAGTAGCAAATCTGTCATTCAATTTTTCTATAAAGATGCTTCCAATTGGGAAAACCTCAAAGTACAAACAATGCTATTTCACTGCAGCATCTCCAGAAAGAAATAAGATTATTTTATTTCCTAGGGGCAATTGTTGGGTACTTCTGCAAGGAAGCATGATTGATATTTTGCCTGCTCCTGCCCTTACTCAGCATCCAGGCATCAAGCAAATGACCCCACCACCACCACTTGGGAAAGTATGGTCACCAATTGTGGGGATTAAAATAAATTTCTCATTTCTGGGTAACAGTTTGTTTTATGGGTATATGTATGAACAAAAATGGTAAAGAAGCCTGAGAAATACTTTCTATTCTCCAATTTTCACCTAGCAAGAGCTAAAAGAAGTGTCTTCCTCATCCAAGTTTTCAAGAGTTTACTCAGACTACTCAGGATTACAACTACAAAACATGAAGAGCACTTCAAGTCCATGATGGCACAAAAAGTCTTTTTACAGCTAATACAATCAATAATAGATATAAATGCCTTCCTCAGAAACCTCCTTTTAGCATGTTGCCTTTGAACCTTCCAAGTGCTCCCTACATAAAAATCAATCTGTATCCAAGAACAAGGCAGTAGCAGTGCTTCTGCCATTCCAATTTTGTGTGCATGCATGCCGAGGGTATCTTAGTAAGTAAGACTCTTCATGGAATCTCATAGTAGACCTTTTCCCTTGCTGCTTTTCACATTTATTTTAACCAGCAAATGTGGGTATCCTTTCTCAATGTCTAGTGTGCAATTGCTGGAGTAAGAGGGTTTTTTCTCCAGAATATGCAGAATCCTGTCTTGTTTTGTTGTTTTGCTGGTGACTCTAACATCTTAAAACAGAAGCAAAAGTCTTTTTCATCCCATTTATTCTTTCTTGCTGGCACTGCAATGTGAGCCTTTCAACAGCACAATCATTTTCACCAATTGTCACCTACATGGAAATTACTATGTAAAACAAAATTATTCAATGTCCTCATGTGAACATGGTTTGCTGATTGGTAAATACTGCCTGCAAAATAATATGTCATACAAAAAACAAACAAGCAAAAAAAAAGCCATTTAGGAGAACCAGTATTTAAAACGCTCTGATACGATCACCTACCTTCATTCTGGCCCAAGGTTGATCTACTACAGCATCTTGGTTTTGACAGTAGACAGCAAAGAACATCTATGGAAAAGTCTAAAAACAGGGAAACATATTTTGACATTCCTCACTAGACTCTTCTTGCAGATTCTTGAGCCTTGTTGTCCAGAGGCTTCCCAAGCCAAACGTTTCTTTGTGGTAGGTAGCCCTTGACAGACTACTTCGCTTTCACCATTGCTTCTTGAACCCATGTAAATTCTCAGCATCCACAAAATTGTGTGCCAAGGACTTCACAGCTCTTCCTCTCCTACCAGAAGGATCAGGGCTCTGCATCTGTTCTGGACACACCACTTGCCAGTTTCAAGAACTTCCATTTTCACTTTCATTCAAGTATTTTCCTTTTCACTTTCAGTCATTCTGACTTTATAAAAGGCTACTATAAAATGTTCTTAACAACAAAGACTAATAAATTACATGGCAGTCTGCTTAAATGAGCCTCATCAGGCGTTTCTCTTACCAAAGTACTATTTTACTCCATCCTCATTGACTGGATTTCATTATTTCTTTCCACCAGATCACAAGTGAACTACCACAGTGCTAGGTACAGTACTCAGAAGCTTCACAGAAATAATCCTGGCTTCTCCTTTGAATCAGAGGAGGGGATAAGACTGACACTTGTGCTGCCTGGAGCTGGAAATTCTTAACTGACATTAACTAGGAAGAATCTGATGATTGATAAGAGGCCTAGTTGCTCTGAGTTTGAAGGATTCAGGACAAGTTGTATTCAAACCTATTCAGAAAACCATTGCAGTTCAAGCAACTACATGAAACTTCTAATTACGTTTAGCCTTACACTGAAGCTGTTCTCTACTAACGTTCAGGTTCAGAGAAAAGCCAGGACTGGCTTTATTTTGGAGCTACTTTTTTTCTTTGAGAAAGAGGACCATCTAGTGGTTAATGCTGAAATTATCTTGTTTTCGATCTTTACTGAGCAAGGACTGAACCCCCACATTTCAAACAAAAGCATGTGTATCTTGAAATCTGGCCATTTACTGAAGCTCAGCCAAACTACATAAAAGCCCAATTCTCACGAGTTAGGCTAGCTATCCAGGTGTTTATCAGCAGCACAGTGTCCAGGTTGCCCAGTCTCCCAGTTAGCACATGCTTATTGGAACAACTTGTTAGCAGCTGGGCAGCTCAAGCATAGACTACAGCTCAGGACATCAGCCAGCCTCCACAAGCCCTTCCTCAGCACACTGTGGAGGCTTTGTACCAGAGTTAGAGCTTGGATGGAAAAATACAAGTCAGGGTTGGCATGGTTACAGCCACCTTCAAAACTATTCTGCTGATGGGAGAAGGAGGATTTCTCCTGACACTTTTGCTATTCTTCCTCCATGCTAGAAAACCACCAGGCAATCTCCTGCCCAGAGGTTCAGGATGTGCAGATTCCAAATGGAGCTGGACATTGTAGGTAGAATCGTGTAGTGGGAACAGGGAAGATTAAAGTTCAAGAAAAAAAAATCAAGGATGGAAATATTTTTACATATCTCTCAGGCATCCAGCACTTTGACATTATTTTCAGAATGCCAATATTAGGCCAGCAAAGGACAACTTCTGGTGCTGGAGTGGAGCAGATTTTGTGCACAGAGTAGTTGCAAGATGGAAATTAGTGCTGCTAGGTGCCATTTGCATATTTCATGCACAGTCACTTTTTTAAGGCAACTTAAACTGCTCTTTGAACACTGAGTGCTTCAAGCAGTAACTGGGTTTCCAGGCTGTTGCAGAGGACACAGGTCAGCATGCAAGTCTGCCATTTTCTGGTAAGGTAGACTGCAGGACCAGGTACAGGAGATCTGTCTACAGGAGCAAGCCTTAATTAAATTAAATTTTAGCTTTGTAAATGCACCTAAGGAATAAAACTTAAAATATTAGGATGCTGCACATGAAAATAACAGTAGTATATATTAGAATCGTGTTTGTAGGAAGTGAAAAATGATGTTACTCATTCTGGTTATTACAGAAGGGCAGCTGCAGGTAAGTGGGGCCTTGTGCAAGCACACAACCAAAGACATATGCCATACCAAGTCCTAAACTAAAGCATAGCTTGAGCCCCTACTGTGTAGGTAACTTGGTTTTTCCTCATGCAAGGCTTTTTCATGGCATTCCCAGCCCATTTTTCCAACACAGCAATTCTCTGGAAGAAAGTTTCTCTCACTGGTCTGAGTTACCTATTGCTCCTCAAGAGCATCTGAAGTACTTCTGAGGGTACCCAGTGAAGGTGCAGTTCTGCACTAGGGTGACATTTTAAAGTGTACTTTATGGCTTCAGTATGTCATATTTATCATCTGTATGTCAGTGAGTCTCCAGTTTTAATCCCTGCAGCTCATCTAGTCATAAATAACCTCTAATGATTCACATGCAGCTTGACAGATGAACTGAAATACAGAAAAAGGCAAGCAAGGGGATCTCTAATTGCTATTCATAACCAGGTCTTGCAACTATTACATTTAAATAGCCTGAAGCCAGGATCAAGTTAATTAGTGATGAGGTTCTTTTTTTCTGGCACCATAGTTGGCAGGTTGTATGTTAGTTATGGAGAGGCAAGAGTCTCATTTCCAATCCATTGTTTAAACTCTGATGTCTAATATTAGTGAATGAGATTAACTCCAGCCTCTGCTATAGGACAATTAGCCGTAATAGAAAATTTAACAATTAAGCAACAACACCTCTTGCCACCACTTAGGTTTTAAACTTATTTTAATTGCTTCTACCTTTTTTGTTTGCTGCTGTTTGCCATGTCTGCTTTGCCCACCTGTCTTCAGGCTAGGATGGCTGGAAGCCCTCGCAATCAGGACTTTCACAGCTCTTTTGTCGTGAGCGGCTGCTCAAGAGCAATGGGAAGGACTCAGTCAGGACGAAAGACCTCAGAACAGCTGTCAAGGGGCAAGAGCAAGAGAAGCATGTCTCCAGCAGGATGCCACCTGTCTCTGCCCACAGTCACCAAGGTTTGGTGCAACGTGGTGGCACAGATCGTATTTGTGTCTGACCTTCATGACGGACGTGACACGGAGACCTGCAGCTCCCTCTGAGGAGGACAGCAGAGGGAGAGCTCTTTGCACGGACACAGCCCCAAGAGACTTCACCAATGCATATGAACATTGTGGCAGGCTGCCAACAGAACAATACAGGTGCTGGCCACCACCTTTGTTTTAATTGCTGCCCAGCACATGTCAAGCTGTGCAGTTAGGGTTTGTTGCCATTCCCTCATCAGTTGTCAAGGTTTACACTTCAGAACTATTCATTGTGGATCCATTTTAAGGATAAAATAATCACATCTTCTTGGCTTATAAAGGAGCTCTGTTGCTTCCCAGACACCAAATCTCATTTGTCTGCAAACTGTAGGATGAATTCCAGAGATGCCCAATGAGCCCATAGGACTGGATTAACCCAGCAGTGAGAATGAGAAATGTAAAACTATTTTAAATGCATGAGGACTCAAAGTAAACACAAGAACCGACACAGCAAGCAGAATACTTGCCTAAACCTGAAGACTTGGACTTGAGATTTGTGTCTGCAGATCCACTGTCTTCTCATTCATAGCCAGGCCTGTCCCCAGACTCTGTCCTCTTCGGTTGTCTCAGCACAACTGTTGTAGTGGAGTGGATTTGATGCAACCTTTGAGTTCATTTTTTAACTCAAATCACTTTGCAGATCTTACTCATCCCAGTGCCCCACAGACACTAG